GGGAAGATAACACGGTGGAGCGCACTTGTGTAGGACCATCTTGAGACGAGGGCCCAGCTACCCTCGGCACAAGTGCCACTCGATCTTCAAGGCAATCAAACAAAAAATAGGCCAAAGATTTTCAGTCGTCAATTTTTTTTTATTTTTAGAATATAGTGGAAACCTATTTAAAAAGTGGACTAGATCACTGACTGAAATAGCTCAATATTTTAATGGCTTCTGTAATTATGGGGGTGTTTACAATTTTTTTTTCAGGGGAATGTTTTCGAAAACCCAAGTCAGATGTTGCGGTGCTGTGTGGTGCCAAATATTGACTACAAGCACGCCATGGGCTGGCGAGTCACCAAGAGACCAAAACTTGTCAGTTATTGGTGAAATGGTGAGCCGAACCACGATAGGTGACACTGTTCTGTAGGTGAGACATAGACTGCTGGTGACACAGTGATGTAGGCAGGTTGTGGTGTTTTGTAGTGTTCGTCAGGGTGGTTTGTGATGCTTTTTTGTGATATTCGGCATGAGGTGATGTTTTATTGTTGTGATGTTTGGCAGGGTGTGATGTTTAGGTGATGTGACGTTCGTCGTATGTCAACATCCGGGTCACAACTGAAAACCCGTGTCACGCGGATGTCGGCGTCAGTACGTGTCGATGCGCATGCGCGGCCATGAATGGCACTGTATCCCTGTGGAAGATCTGATGTATGTAAATATTATGCGTGAAGTGAAGAGTGGGAAAAAAGAATGGTAAAAGAAAGATAAATACGGAACAATTCCCATTCACCGCGGTCGTTGTGTGTAGGATGCGGTTGTGCTGGTTCGATGTGGTTGTGCGCTGTGTTTGTGTAGCTAAGGCTAGTCGTATGTATGCTAGAGTGGTTGAGGCTACTGGCTACATTAAAGCTAGGTTGACAGGTTACACTAATTAAGGTTAATTACGGCTGGTCGCTGTCTTTGAGCTAGAGTCACGATCTATATCGTCGTTCCACTCATCAGAAGCTGTTAAAGCAGGGTGTCATAAAAGAAATGTCTCATGGGTTGCCATTAGAGTTTGTCACACCGGGTTGCCACGTCTAGTTGTCACAGTAGGTTGTCATCAGAATTAAAAACTGAGCATTAATATATGACGCAACGAAATCATTAATATCCAGAAAATTTTGTTTGATATCGTGTTTTCCAAATATCCATGCAGGATTTTTTTATGGTGATCAATTAAACGTGAGTACCTGAGCGACGATGAATTGTGAGTAACCGTAAAGAGATACCCCCCCCCTACAAAAACACATACACACACCCAGCATTTAATCTCGACATAATCCCCCTCACCTCACCAACAATAACCATATTGTACCTTCGGTATCCCTGCTGCAACACGAAGACCAAAGAAGAACCGAAACACACCTCGCCAATTTTCAACACAAAAAACAGCAGCAAAAAAAAAATGAAGACTGGTACGACAGCGGCCCAACGGTAAACCAGCGCACCGCGGCTCTTTGTTGGGCCGTACAGAGCCGGACAGCGGGGGGCCTGGAGCGAACTGGGCGGTTTTTATAGGTCTTTTAGAAACAGGTCTTTTCAGAATCAGAGGGGGTCATGCAGAGAGTGTCGGGATCGTGTGATTTTATCAGCGGTGTGTGTAGGACAGCCATGACGAGGGGCTGAGTGAGATGCTTCTGGAATATTCCGGGATGTTGTGCTTGGGGTGCTTCTTTACGCTCCAGGTGCCTGGCCATTTTTTGTGCGACTCGGTCGGGTTGAAATACTGTATGCGCATGCCCGTAGGATTATGTGATGATTGGAGCTATGCCGGGAAGGAATATTTGGTTGGCTTGCTTTGGGTGTGACTGTTGAGACACGCTCCGTCACTACAATAGCTTCTTTGTGATACGCTTGGGGGACAAGAACTTTTTTTAGTTGTAGTCTTGTTAAAACAAAGAAAAATAAAGACAGGCATAGAAAACGTTTAAGAAAATACTAGCATTTGATGGTTTGAAATTTGTAAGTTTTTTTTTATTCCAGCAAAAGCTGTCTTTACCGAGACTGTAACACCCCCCCCCCTCCCCGCCCAGTTTCCTAATGGGAGGCGACGATCTTAACCCGTCCCCCGGACAATTTCTATTACCGTAACCACAAGCCGGACTGTGCCGGCAAGTTGCCGGTATTGGCGCACGGCAAATGACTGTGGTTTAGAGCCATATAATTGGCGAGTCGTGTGGGTGATGTCTGTGATTTATCGGGTGCCGTTCCGTCAGGAGTGAGATTGGCGCTTTTCACGCACACGTTCCTGGGCACGCAATGCAAAAATCGGACGCAGAACCGTTTTTTTTTTTTTTTTACCACATTTTAAAGCTTAGCCTTGTTTCAAACTAAAGGTCATATTGAAATTTAAGTTTATTTTGAAGTATTTGAATCAAGTGAAGTTTGTAGTTGGTGGATTAAAAATTAAGAATTGTTATGTAAAATAAAAACTAATAGGTCATTTTCGCTTATGAGACTACCAGTACCCGTATTTTTAAAATATCGCGAAAATTCAAGAAGAAAAAACAAATCCCACATTTTGTATTTTAGTAATACATTTTAGTCAGAAAGAAGTCCCTGTAGTTTCATGTGCAAACCAAAAATTATTTTAACGTTAAGATAATTTGAAAAAAATTACCGCTTTAAATAAGATCTTGTCACGACAGTTGTTGATGGATTATACGCCCCTGGTAGCACGCGCTGTGATTAATTAAATTGTAGTCTTTGATTACATAAAGTGGATGCTAAAATTGTAACTCCTGTTTCCGTTATGTTTTATTGCTATTATTTATGTAGTTCTAAGGCTTAACAGTGGCGATGATTTACAGTCTAAGAAGGAAGTCTGAGGCTTTTTTACGGATATGGGCCCAGTCGTTCTACATGGGCTTATGGGGTAGGTCACTGAACATGGGCTTATGGGGTAGGTCACTGAACATGGACTTATGGGGTAGGTCACTGAACATGGGCTTATGGGGTAGGTCACTGAACATGGGCTTATGGGGTAGGTCACTGAACATGGGCTTATGGGGTAGGTCACTGAACATGGGCTTATGGGGTAGGTCACTGAACAGGGGCTTATGGGGTAGGTCACTGAACAGGGGCTTATGGGGTAGGTCACTGAAAAATGGGCTTATGGGGTAGGTCACTGAACAGGGGCTTATGGGGTAGGTCACTGAAAAATGGGCTTATGGGGTAGGTCACTGAACATGGGCTTATGGGGTAGGTCACTGAACATGGGATTATGGGGTAGGTCACTGAACATGGGCTTATGGGGTAGGTCACTGAACATGGGCTTATGGGGTAGGTCACTGAACATGGGCTTATGGGGTAGGTCACTGAACGTGGGCTTATGGGGTAGGTCACTGAACATGTGCTTATGGGCTGCGTCATTTAACATAGGCTTAGGGTCCCATTCTACAAACGTTTGCACTCTCAAAGCGTAAGAGTACATAAAAATAGCTTGATATTTAGTTAACAAATTTAAGTTAGAAAGTAATATGGGCTTTACGCAAACTGACCCACAAGAGACCTACCCTACTGACTCCCAAACCACCACTCCCACCCGCATACTGATATCACCCTCACCCCCCCCCCCCCCCCCCCCACACACACACACCCTGATATCAGCCCTGCATCTTGATGAGAAAATGAATCGCGTGACTGACGTAATCACGAAATTGTCGCAAACCGCCCGAACGCGGATGAAAAAAAAAATGAACTGTTATTTTTCTGTTGGCAACATTTACCCCCAGCTTACGAGCGCCCTCCGGGGCGGGGAGTCCAAATTAAAAACCTGCGCCCGGCACGCGAAACGGTTGGGGGAAAACAATGGTTAAACAACAGATTAACCCTATCAGGGCCGGGTGAGTATATGGATTTGTACACAGTCGGTTATTGTATTTTCGATGAGTCGCGATTTTTTTTTATCTTTATAAACAAAGACAGGGTGAAACAGAGGGTGGGGAGAGTGGAGAGGGGGGGGGGGGGGGGTTAAACAATGCAGGGTCGTTTAAAAAGTGATAGCTGCAGGCGCGAGGGTTGCAACAGGTGGGGACGGAGTAAATCACTATCTCCCCACGTCATTACCGAGGTCTCACGCGCCGGTTTGGCGCTGGTCATTGTTCTAACGGCTGACACACCCACAAAAATCGATGCTTAGATACAGGACACAATGGGTTAAAGGTGTTTGTCGTATAAGGGGGGGGGGTCAACATGTCGCCAACATCTATTTAGCCACAGATGGCGTCCGCTAAGTACCCTTAAACATTGGTCTTCCCGGGGTAGGGGGATAGCGCGGGGGATGGCGCGGACATAAAAACAAACTGCATCCGTCACGGTTATCTGGCTAATGCCTGCGACAGGCGGTGGTGATGAGAGTCACTGCAGGCGTCAGACGCAGATTCACACCACTTAACCACGTGACAATGGGGACCGTAACAAATACAAGTCATAAAAAAGACATTTTTTTTTCTAGCGGGGATAAAAGGGACCATTGTTTCACGTCCACAGATTGTGTAAGACCCCGTCAGCCCCCGCCCCTAACCGTAACGCTACCCACACTAATGTATCGATCCCTAAACCTTATCAGTCCTCACCCCTAATACGACCGGCCCCCACCCTACCCTACTGTTACTCCTCCGTTACCTAAAACCTAAAGCGATCCGCCCCTAAACGTTTACTTAGTTTTTATCAAGTACGTTTTTTTTTCTTAGAAAGAGCATTTTATATGAGTGGCTATCTGGCTACGATGGTATATATGTGTTGTTGTTTTTTTAGAGTTGTTTTATATGGGGGTTGTATGATTGGGCTGTTTATATACTGTTTATATATAATTTGGGAAAGTGGACACTAGCAAGGATGATGAAGTGGACGCTGAAGTTGATGATTACAAGAAGACTGGGGATGTTGTAGAAATGACGTAAGCGATGACGTCAGAGTGAAGTACAACGCACGTTAAATAAGAGGTCACGTGACACCCGTCAACTCACCCAGGTAGCCGAACCCCGGGCCCATCATGTCCGGGCTGTCACCCAGCTCCTCCCCGGGCCTCAGCGCGCGCATGCGCCGTGGGTTGCGGAAGAAGTGTCGCCGCGCGCCCAACGCGCTCAGCTGCTTCATGCGCCTCTCCTTGGAGCGTCTGTTCTGGAACCACACCTGCAGACGTACAAAATATTTAGGTTAGCTCATTAATTAATTAGCAAAGTTAGTCTCATTAATTACAGTTATAACAAATATAATGTTATAAGAAAAAAAGATAATGTATACACGTATGGACAAGTTTTGAAGAGTGAGATATCTGATAAGAAAGTGAAATCTAAAACATATAATTTGTGGTTTGACTGAATCTGCCATATGTATCTCTTGAAATTATTTCGATTGCATGCGTCAATATGTTCTTATCATTAACGCGGCATAACTGATTACAAAATAACACGTAAATTGATCTGGCAGTAATAATTAACCGACCGTGAAATGACTCAAGACATCGCACGTTTGACGCCGATCAATTTACCCAAACTTGTTAATTTTTCATAGAGTTCAATTAACGCTAACTAGTCCATATTTCATAATGATCAGCTAATCCAAGCTAATGGGTTAATGATTGCATAGAGTTCAGTTAACCCTAACAATTGAATGTTTCGTGACGCCCAATTAACCCCTTACCACCTGTGTCATGCCTGCATGGTGTCCGATGTTTTTCTTGCCGGCGAAAGTGGACCAGAAGTTAATTAAGGCTAAATGACACCGCCTATGTCTAAATGACACCGCCTATGTCTAAATGACACCGTCTATGTCTAAATGACACCGTCTATGTCTAAATGACACTGACTATGTCAACGTTTGCTTTTCGCTATGCCGGTTGCTTGCTGCGTGTCATAACATAGCAGAGGAGCAGGGAATTAATTTCATGGACATTATTTTCGGGGGACAAAATCACATCTACACCGTGAATAATTACAAGGGTTAGTGTGATGCGAGGTAGTGCGTAGCGAGATGTTTCCGGCGAATCACACAATCGCGATGGTATTTTAAACATCCCAATATATTTTCTTTTTCAAAATCTTAATTTACTATATAAACAAGAAAAATGGATTTTAAAGTATGATTTGTCAAAGCCTAATTTAAAAATAGTTTTCATTTTTATTTCTACGTTTTGTGTATCAAATACTTAAATATTAAAAGTGAGATTTTATTTTTTTATGGCGCGCCAACCGTGTAAAGAATGTGAAAAATCTTGTTTTTATGGTAAGCCAAAATTCCACTTTATAGCGAAATAATATTTTTTTTGTAATGCGTTTAGGTAAAGGAAGAAGATAATGATAGTTTTGTGAGAGCTTACAAGGGATTGTACCCAGCCCTGGAGCCTGTACGGTTCTATGTCTGTAGTGTGGGCTAGTGCAGCGTTTGATCTTTTCAAAGGTGGCGCACCACGCTTCACAGATGCAAGGATTAGCCCAGATCTAGACATGTTTCATACCCCGGGGCTCAAGTGGGGCCCCCGGTCGTGTATCATCGGTAACATTTGTCACATTTTTGTCACCAGCTCAACGCCCGTCACTCGATTGACGCGCTAGCCGGAGTCCCGCGCTACTCCGAGTCTGTGTTAAGAAGAGCCCACTTGAACTACGTTACGTCGTCTGTCTAGTGTTTTGTTCTGAGTCTCTCTAGCCCCCGGCTTGTTGCTTAACCGTATCGCTTTATGCACAAAAGAATATTTTGTAAAAGCGCCATTGCCTCACTCCAAATACCCACCTCGTGTAGAAGAAACGTTAAAAAAAATCATGAACGTTTAACTGTACTCGATTTTAAACTTAATCTCACAAAGTGTGGGAAACGAGTATTGGCTTGTAATGTATCATAAGGCAATATTGGTTTAACTGTGTAGATATTTTTTTAAATTATTTTAAGAGTAGCATAAAGATTGACTGATGACTACCTTGCTCGGAAAAGCGGGCTACTCACACGTAGCCACAGAGAAGGTAGCCAAAAAACAAGTAGCTAACAAAAACATACTTCCCGTTGTTTCAGTTCACGGTGGTAAAAAATACTGCACAATGCACCGATAAATTGATGGGTAATTATTTCACGCAATTCTAATTATCTTATCCAATTTAGGATTTTAAGCTTTGGTCTTAACTGGTGAAATTCGGATACCTGTAAACAGGTAAACAATTAATTTTTGAGAGATAATACCTTATCGACAAAATGTTCCCCAATGAGGAAAAATTGCTCACTTTTCAGTAATCGGATGCCAAATAAAAAGTACCCTATTATCTCTGACCTATCGATACTGAACTTTCTCTGGCCATCGTAAATGATGGAAAAACTGCCAAGATATCAATACCCAACATTAGAAACAGGTGACGATTTTCAGTACAAATGGATACAGTGGGGATTTTTTTATCATCAGAAAATAAAAAAAAATAAAAAAATAAAAAAAACCAAGGATAAAAAACTTTCTCAACTATAGGAGCAGGCTGGTTTTTTATGAGGCTTTTATTCAATCCATGTTGGATTATGCTTCTGTAGTGTGGAGCGGCAGCTTTTTAACTAAGCAGCGTCCTCTTCTTTCTTTACAAAAAAAGGGCTATAAAACTGGTTACTGGCTTGTCTAGTAGTCTGGATTCTTTTCTTACAACTAAAATACTTCAATTAAATAAAAAGATAATATATACTAAATCAATTTTCTTATATAAAATATTCCACGAAACAGCCCCCTCTTACTTATCTGATCTATTTTCTTTTAACATAAAATTAAATCGTCGTCTTAATTTACCATTCCCTTATTCAACCTTTTTCCAAAAACATAGCTTCGCCTACTCTGGTTCTAATTTGTGGAACAATCTTCCTAATAAAATAAAGCTATCTAGATCTGAAAATATATTCAAATCTAAACTAAAACTAAAATTATTTAATGACCTAACTGACTCATTGTAACATTTCTCATTCATCTATTATATTCTCTTTTTTATCTCATTATGTATGATAGCTATGTACCATTGTTTCTTTATTCCACATTTTTAGTGCTATGTGTTACTGCTATGTGTTATTGAATTGTTTTATTTGTTTAAACGGCCAATGTGAAAAAAGGCCTTTGTGCCTACAATTGTAACCGTTGTTTGAATAAATTTGAATGAATAAATTTGAATAAATTTGAATTTGAATTTGAAGCAACGAAAAGAAAGACGACCATCATCATTTGATGCGCCTGTCACAGTTTTAGCGACGAAACTTAAGTCGTCCAAATAGAGAACGATAGTAACGATAACAGCAACATTGGTGGGGGGGGGGGTTGATATGCTAATGGATTGATGTATTGATGTCTTAAAATATTAGCAGCGCAGGATGTGATTTAGCGACCACGATGCAGCTTCATGTGAAATGTGATGGATGTTAATGTGAAAAATGTGTCAGTTAAATGGGTGGATGAAACGAGGGCGTAGTTGTCGTTTTGTAGTTCTAGTGTAAGTTCTAGTGCAATGTAATTAACATAAAATTGTTGGCAATATATTATGTACACCATACTTATACTAAAGCTAATTTACCGTCAAAATGGGGAAAACAATGGAGTCGCTGGAGTCAAGTTGAGTTGGATTCGCAATACTGAGCGACACACAATTCAATGAACTGTAAACATATCTTTTCACTAGTCCAACGATTTATTTTTAAAATATTTTTTTTACCTGGAGAAATATCCCACCTCGAGAATGGCCCGGGTGTCACGTGCCTAGGGCGTAAATAGTCACGTGATATTTAAATGAAGAGCTGAGGGAGACAATGGGTTTAGATGAGGCGGGCGAGGGTGAAGACATTGATGACCCGAGTCACTACCATGGTTTATGGGATACCCTGGGTGTCCGGTTCTGGCCTGGATGTGTCACCATATGGTTTATGGGAGGTAGGTTTCAGGTGGGGGGAGGGGGTGGTAGGGGCAGGAGGAATATTGGGAGTCGAGTACTGGGTGAAGGTGTGGGTGGGAGGAGAGGCTATAGGGGTGGGAGATAAAGGGAAAGGAGGGTGGGATGGTATGGAAGCTGTAGAAAGGATAAAATAAACAGCTCCAGCTAATCACAGGTATATAAGGGTAGCGGGGGAGGGGGTGGGGGTGAAACTATAGGATAGACTGAGGGATGTGAGTAGGTGGGCTGGGGACAGGGGAGAGGTGAGTAATGGAAGTATTCAGGTGAAAGAGAACGGATAGAAGTATACGGAGAAATCATATTAACGAAAATACGGGCAATATATTAGTATTAGAGATCGAATCCGTGCCGGAACAATATTCAATTGTTTTTTTTTTTTTTTGTTTTTTTTTTTTTTTGGTTTTTGGTCTTTTTTTTTTTTTGCCACTTCCTTCGGTGTGAAATGAAGGTGTGATTTTCAAGGGGTCAAAACAAGTTAAGACACGGGCGTTCCGGGCAAGATGGCGGGTTGCATGGGGCTGATGCGATGGTGAGGGGTGGGGGACTCTGTGTCACACGTCAGGCAGGAACAAGCAACAGATTAGCGACCATCATACGTCACGTCCAGCAGACGCTGATTTACACCCGGGGGTTGCAGTTCTGGGTGGCAAGCGGGGTTTAGGGTTACCCCACTGGGTTTTCCCGCAGAACAATCGGACTGGGAGCTTTGGATAGAACGACCGGGAATTCCCACGATAAAGTCTTGAGTGTATTAGCATGGATGTGATGTGATACTAGAGGATTAACGACGGTGTTTAGGGGGTGGGGGGGGGGGGGGGGTGGGGGTATCGGAGTTTAGGGGTCGGGGCATGACATTTTGTTTTAAAATACATAATTTTAAGATAAACGCGACAGTCACCTATAGCTGTAACTAGAAAGTGTTAAAATTTTCATGAACATATAACTAACGGAAAGAGTCAACTAAAATTACGATTCATCGTCTTCAACCACATATTTGAGAATACTAGCTTATATGTGTAGTAAAGAAAGAAATATGATCACATGACATTGAATAACAAAGTGAATGCTTCTACTTGTAGAGTACACGTCGTACAATCGCCTAGTACACTTTCTAACGTGGTCGGTAGAGAAAAAACCGACGTTCGTGCAAAACGATAAAAAAAAAAAGATTTAAAAAAAAGAAAAGTATCTCAAAAAACGAAACAAATAAACTAAGGGCAGGGTAATTTTTTT